TCAACAACGAGCTAGATCCGGGTGTGTATACCTATTCCTTAGCAGTAGAGTCTGTTTTGCTTACCGGTTTTGGCTACTCCATAAAATGACTCTATAACGATTCCGTTTCGGTGCCATCTGATTAGAATCGTTTAAGAAATGGAACCATAAAAGAGTATTTTTTCTTAAGAGAGCTTCTAGAGTCATCTTGACCCAAAATGGATTGTTGGATACAACATAAGTATTCAATTAAGACTGCACTTGGTAATAGTGGAGATAAGGCTGTTACGGTACCCAGCTAACATGCAAATTGTTTCGGGTTTAGGTTGTTTTTGTAGGAAAGGGGGTCAAACGAGCGGATAGGTTACCTGATGATAAGTGACAACCGCCGCCCATGGACACGTGCACCTCAAGAGTCTCAAGTGCAGTGCCGCTCTTTGAGTCCCTCACTCACACGGTGTTAAGCAACGAAAGAATTGCTTAACCCTTTTCAATGAGGCCGTGATATCCCTCCGGCCGATCCTGGCCCATGATTGTCGAAGCATGTCTCTCCCATATTAACGGTTAGCTTCAATTTCAGTTTAAATCTATTAAGAATAAAAAAGAAAAAAGTAGATAAGTATTCTATAAGTCAATCTAGCTTTCATAGTAAAAGCTAAGCTTAGTTTGAAACTAGCAGGCGTTGTGTATCAGATGTCCGAAAATATTATTTTTCTTAATTCAGTTCAGTACCCCATTGTTTCGAAAAAGGTCAAATAATAACTACATTACAAAATTATTGACTTGTAAACAGCTGTAAACAGATAATTGACGTTTCGATATCACATTGTTTGCACATTATAAACTAATTACTGTGTTGTAACAAAGTGCACTTTGGAACTATTAGCGGAAACTGATTGTGACGTTACATTTTATATTGATCATTCAGATAACACTAGGAGAGCAGGAAAAAATATAAAATTTAAATCATCATCGTCGACACCCTATAGTTGGACTTAGGCCTCTCCTGTGAAAGAGGTTTTTGTCTATTACACCACTGGCCAGACGGTTTCGTATAGATTTTGTTTTAAATTTTTATTAACCGACTTCCAAAACACAAAAGAGGAGGTTCTAAATTCGTCTGTATTTTTTTTTATGTATGTTTGTTCCGCGATTTCTTCTCTTTGCAGTGCAGGGCCTCAATTCTCTCAATTCAAATTATAAGGAAATGATTTATTTATTTTTATAATTTGAAAATATATGTTTTTTTGAGGAAATAATTTATTTATTTTTCCAAATATGGCAATCTTTTTGATATCACCACTAATGAGCCACTGCTATTCCATCGCCACAGTAAATACACTGAGTTAGTGTACATTACTGATATTTATACCGATGGCATCTCAACAGCGTGTCAGTGGTATGACAGTGGCTTGGCGTGAACATAAAATAGCAGAATTGAGGCCCTGTTGTCCTGCGTAGTTTGATCCCTTAGTCGGCTCTTACACACCACAGTATGAATTAGGGTTTTGACACTCCGTATTCTTAATTATTCACGGAACTAATAAAAAAGTATTAAACGGTATGTTTACGTGTGCATGTATAAACAACTAAGGTAGAGTACTTTTCTGTTTGTTTTTTATTACATCAGTTAAAGTAAATTCAAAGCAATTTGATGTGAACTTTTTTTTCTCATTGAAAAAAAATACAACTCCCGCACTAGGAATAAATCCTATGTCACGGCCGACTTTACAAACATATATGAAACGGACACAAAGAACACCCAGACTTAGAACAACAATTTGTGAATCACACAAAGTGTCTTCCTATGTAGGGATCGGACCCACCGTGGCTACCGCTTAAACCACTACGCCATCCGTGCAGTTGACTGAAAATGAAAACATTGTCAACTGAAAAATACAAACAGAGTAAAAATATAAAGATATTAGGGATGGGGTTTATCTAACCTGACAAAATTATGAGACTGGACACACGTGTGTCCAGTTGGTAAAACTCAAAATTAATAACACTTATTATTTCGTCAAGATTTTTACGCGTATCCACATGCTGAAATTTAAATTTTACTAGCTGACCCGGCAAACGTTGTTTTGCCAAAAAATATTTATTGATGGGTCACCCTTACCATTTAGGGGTATGAAAAATAGATGTTGGCCGATTCTCAGACCTACCCGATGTGCACACAAAATTTCATGAGAATCGGTAAAGCCGTTTCGGAGGAGTACGGGAACGAACATTGTGACACGAGAATTTTATATATAAGAAGACTAGCTGACCCGGCAAACGTTGTATTGCAAAACAAAAAAAAATTAGGGATGGGTCACCCTTACCATTTAGGGGTATGAAAAATAGATGTTGGACGATTCTCAGACCTACCCGATGTGCACACAAAATTTCATGAGAATCGGTCAAGCCGTTTCGGAGGAGTACGGGAACGAACATTGTGACACGAGAATTTTATATATAAGATTAAACCGACGGGCCCGTTGGTCTAGTAGTTAGTGACCCTGACTGCTATACTGGAGGTCGTGGGTTCGATTCTCACACAAATATTTGTGTGATAAGGACGATTATTTGTTCTATGTCTTAGTGTAATTTATGTGTAATAGGTATGTATTTAGAAATATACGAATATGTTTATCAGCAGCCTGGTTCCATAGTACAGGCTCTGCCTAGTTTGGGATCAGACAGCCGTATGTGAGACATGTGATGATGGTATAATTATCATTTGTGTAATTTAACATATTATTGATTATGAAAAAAAAAATTGTGTAAGCTAAATAAAAAAAACAGTCAGGTTAATTACGATACTAATAAATCTGTGTAACTGTGTAAACATACAGTACATGCTGGCAAAACAAATTCAAACAACGTACTCAAAATATAAATTTACAAAAGTGACATCTGTTGAATATTAATTGTCTGCTGTAGTACAGTTTAACGATACAAAGCTAGATGGCGTTAGTATACTTAATGTTAACTAAATGAATGTAATACATTATTTGAATTGTAGGACTTACAAAAGTAAATGGCTATATCTAATTTATCCAGAGCGTTATCTTCAGATGAGTCCGTATGGTGACGGATAAAGAATACAGAGTGTCACCAACCCTATTCATCCCGTGGGTGTCATAAGAGGCGACTGAGGGTTCAATCTACGCAGGACAATAGCACTGTAGAGAGAAGGTAAAACCCTAAACCAAAACCCATCCGGCCATCGTGGTAAAGTAGGCCAAAACCTCCTTTCTAAAGAGAGGACTATGTCCAGCAGTAGACCATTAAAGACTGCTGATGTGATGTGATTATCTTCAGATCAATAAACAATCCAATAATAAAAAAAAAACCCTACAACTTCAATGCAAGGTTATTTTGAAGTCGGTTTGAGGTATTTTTTAAAGTAAATATTCTCCCCTGATAGCGGTATATTAAAGGTGGACCTAATATTCTAATTACAATGGAACCAGCCTTAAATAAATTCAATGATTAAAAGAATTTGAAGAAAAGACGACGTAAGGGGTGTATTGACCCCCGGTCTGACCGGGGTTCAGACCGGGGGTCAATACACCCCTATTGACCCCCGGTCTGAACGAAGTTCCTTTCGCTTATTGGTAGACGTTCGCTAAATATGAAATGTAAAAGATGTGAGCGTCGACACGCCAACTGAAGTGTCGGAAAAAGTCTCCTTACACATTTTTCGGTCTGGCCCCCGTCCACTCAGAGCGTGTATCACGCGAACTTCTTTCCAAAAATCAGATAAATTGAGGACCTTCACTCTCTTAAAGTAGTTTCAAAACCTACAATCATATAAATAATCTAAGGATACGGCTGCTTTAGACTGCTGAATATAAGTGACACAGGAGTAGAGTTCATCAAATAGTATTATTGAATGGTATTATTGAAATAGCTAACATGTATTATTACTAATTCAACGTGTGATGTCGACATCTAACGTCCCATGTATTCCATTCCATCATATCTGACGGCCAACTCTCATCGCGGTCAGTGGTCAATTCAACGAGCTCACGCTTACATATTTCCTTTTTTTTTCACAGATTGCAACAAAGCAAGACTTGTATATTGTTAAGTATGTTATTACTCACCTTATTAATACATTTTTTCAGAGGTTTTTCTGCAATCTTCCTAATAGAAATCTGTTGTGAACACTACTGAAGCTGTGCTGCTGGATGACACAGATGATACTCACTGAAAAATAGATAGAAACAGGCATTAACATTCTTTCTCTTTATCATGTTTGTGGTTTGAAGTATAATAAATTGGTGGACTGTCCTGTTAGGCTAGCGATCCTGACTGCTAAACCAAAAGTCGTGGGTTTGATTCCCACCCAGAACAAATATTGTGTGATGATCCCAATTGTTTATATTATCTATAATATGAATGTATTCTAGAAATATCTAAGTTTATTTATTTAGAAATATAATATTTATATCTTAAATTAATCTTAAAAGAAGATAAATATTTACTGCAACTCAGTTGTTTAATAACTAAGTGCAGTTTTTCAAAAACACGAGATTGGAGTAAAAACCTGTGCATGATTTCTAACTTTTTTTTGAAGATAGGCTGTACATTACATAACTATATGTATATTCATTCTAAAATCGAGAAAAAATATTTTTATTTTATTTTATTTTGTTCGGAGTACAAACAAAAGTACATATAAAAAAGATATTATTCATTAGGAATCTCATTTTTGGAAACAAAAAAAACAAAAGAAAAACTTGGACTAAAAAATACCCTTATAGAGATTACCCTTACTGACTGAGAACTTAACCCCTCGTGACTTCTGAGTTGCAGGCGTTATTAGACGGCTGTGATCAGGTGAGCCGTCTGCTCGTTTGCCCACTATACCATAAAAAAAAAACAAAATAATAAATTATGCTCTCATTTACTCACCCAGAGAACCAATGCCAAATTCATTTCCTTGAACGACTTCAATTCAACAGCTTACGCTCACTTCGATCTTGTCAAAGGTCCATGTTGTGAAGCGACATCCAGCGTTCGTGTTTCTAGTCCATGTTCACCGGCCGGGTCTTCTTAAGCATGCTGCTGCAGAATCCCAACTAGGATGATACGAATATTTGAGTATAGCATACAAATCATAGCAATCTACCAGCAGAGAAATAGTGTTTCAGGTAAAGAGCTAATTCGAAAATACTCTTTAAATTTTATATTAATAAACCAATTATTGGCAAAAAGCTATACCCTCAATCTATGTTTTATTTATTTATTTGGATCGCCAACAAACGATACACATTTCTACAATAATTAAAAATTATACAAAAACATGCCTTGTGCTCATTAAGTTATAGGCAATGACGACTAACATAAGTAAAACACAAGTAAAATGTTTTAGTATTCCACTGGCTCCATCTATCGACATACATATGCAATGGTATAGAAAACACTGCAAACGTATGTAAACAAATTTATATTACCCAAAGGCCATGATTCACAAACACTGTTTTTAATTTAAAACAAACAAAGAAGTACGCATGTATTCACACTAAAAGACTTGGTGTATTATTCACAAACATTCCATCCGGGAGCCGACGCCAAGGCTTCGAGCATCGCCGCTTATAAGATCGTAGAAATTTAACTTTAAAATTTTATTGCCTTGCGAAAGGCATAATTTTTGATGTATAGTTGCTATTGTAAAGTATGCGACGAGTAATTATAAGGACACAGTCTCCTTGCTAGCGGAGAATGTAAGCGGAGCGATTGCACTAAAATACAACGTGAAGAACTTAAAAGAACTAGGAGAATTCTCTGTGCAAGTACCCCGTAATGTTTTAAGCGGTCACTTCGCCGTTTCCTATTGTGATGAGTATAGTGGATTTGACCCCCATATAGAACAACACTTCGTGTAATCCATAAATTGTTGTTCTCCGTCTAGGTGTTTGTTGTGTCCGTTTCATGAATTTTTGTAAAGTTCCCAGCGACTAGTATGTGAGTTGTCTTTTATAGAGAAAAATAAAGAATTTAAATTGAGAACACTCTGTGATGTTTTATATTTGTTATCCACTTAATCGTCGGTCATGACATACCCGCTTATAGTCAGACGTTGGCCTATTATTGTGCAATTTCGTTGACTTATAACAGTTTTATAAGTTAGAATGTAAGCATGGCTTTAAGCACCAGTTATTTCACTATCTTTATAATTCATTTTGAAGTAGCTTTTAAATAGAAGGCTATTAGAATTGTCTCGTGTTTATTTTATGGGGTGGAGTTGTCTTGAACCTTTTGTGTCACAATCAGAAATTGCTAGTACAGAGACAGTTTTTGTAAGAGTTTTCAGTCAACACTTATGCTTACAATACGCTCACAATATTGCAATTTCGTTGGAATTTGTGTCATATTATAAAAGTAAAAATTGAGAATTTAAAGGTGTCTTATGGTTTTCAAATAATACATTGTTTTTTAAACGTAACCATGCCACGAATTATCTTAAAATGATTAAAAACATTGTCGATATCTGTGTACAATATTTTGTTTTGAAATCATTTGTCAAACACCCCTTAGATGTGAGAATTAAATATATTAGGCACTATTATATTTCAGGATTAAAAAAAAACATCGGCTTTAAAATATGTAATATCCATGAGGTATGGACATAACCATGAGGTATAAATTAACCTTCACCTGGGGTTTAATATTTTTTTCAGTTACTGTTTTTTTTTCGGACTAGCTTTTTTGTGAATGAAAGGTCCTTATGATCTTGTCTGTACCCCTGGCTTTGACCACTGAGGTTGACCCATATGAGCATAAGTATAGCTCTACCACTATTAACTATTATACCTATAAAAGCTATGTCCAGAAAAATAAGTGATTTATAATAAAGGTCCCGTGAAAGAAATACAGTCAGCTACAAACAAGTTTTAAACAATTTTTTTTTTTCTTTTTAGACTTCTAGGCAACAGTTAATTTAAAATTATATAACAATAATATATCCTCACATATCTCAGACTCGGCCGTCTGATCTCAACATAGGCAGAGCCTGTAGACTTTGGAAATCAGGCTGCTGATAAACATACTTATATATTTTTAAATACATACATATATAGATAAATTACACATAGACTCAGAACGAATGATCGTGCTCATATCACAATATTTGTTCTGGATGGGAATGGAACCCACGACCTCCGGCTTTACAGTCATTGTCAGTAACCACTAGACCGACAGGCCCGTTATGAAAAATAAGAAATACATGACTGCTTGTCGTCGGAGAGGTATTTTTCACCACAAATAGGCCGGCTCCACCGCAGTGATACCAGGGCTTCACAGAAAAACACGTTAAGCAAATAAGTTCTTCCTCTTACTCCTTAATCCTATGGGAGGGGGACACTTGGAGGGACACACATGTTTTGTTTGTTCTCGTGTAAAACTTCACATACGAGTATATTCATATCAATTTGTAATGAAACCTTTGATATTAGTTATGTGTTTAAAAGTGTATTGGGTTGTGTTGCGTTTAGTTGTCGACTAGTGTATCGATTACTTACAACATAATGTTGTAACAAGAAACATATTATTATGTGACTTACTAATATCTACTAAAACAGAATTTAATTCTCTCCATTTTGGAGTATTTTGCATTTTCTGGTTTTAAAAAAGATGAAATAAATTGTGTCTGTGGCTAGTGGTAGTAAATTGCGTCGGCCTGGCGTTCACCCAAATGCTCTCTTGTATAACGTGCCCCATAACAACCCAAACTAGGGTGCACACACAGACAGCATTAACGACAAAGTTTCGATTTAGTAAATAAGAACATGGAACCACTAGGGCTTGTAACTGTACCGTTGAGCCCTACACATTGCTTTGTTAATGTTAAAATGTTTTAATCAGACGCTTAAATAATGCTTTTAAAAGAAAAAAGGTAAAAAGCGTCATTACACCCACTTATAATTTTGTAAACATTCTGAGTTGATCGTCTTTCGTTATGTTAAATTAATGGAATATTTTTTTCCAAAAAAACAACTTTTTTTGTGCTATTTACAAACTAGTACTAATATATACAAGAAAAAGTAAAGGAATATAAACATAGCAGACGACCGGATGGCGTAGTGGTTTGTGTAACGGACTGCTATGCCAAAGGTCGCGGGTTCGATGCCCGCTCAATTCAAACATTTGTGTGCATTAGGGTGTCCCGAATTTTTTTAATTCTTATTTTAGCTACTTAAGACCTCAAAAGTTGCGCTGTTAGACGTAAATTAGCGTAAAAATAATTCAAAAAATATTTAAAAATATCCTTAAGGCTCTACCAGCATTTTTATTTACTGAAAATTCGCAAAAACAACCTTGTAGTCAATGTCGTATATTCTATGTTTTATGAATCAATCCTGTTTTGTCTTGTAATTTTATCAATAAGAAAAGCCTCGGCTATGATTTGCAAGTATCGACAGGTTGTTTTAGCGATCAATCGGTTTGGATCGGACTTGCAAAATTCCTACAAAATTCATGTTTTGACTTGATTTTCGTACGTGCGCTACTTCTACAACAAGTTCGTCTCATTTCTATTTCGATTTTACTCTTGTAAGGAGTTGTTCTATTCTTCTTTGAAAGAAAAACGTAATTTGCGTTACTTAATCATAAAAATGTGTTCAAGGCGAAGTGAGACTACTTGTACTATATTGGGACCTTATAAAGAACTTGACGATCGCCAATTACCTCTTATAAAAGACGTTATTAAGTGCATTTTATTTACTAAAAGTGAATTAAAACTACAGAAAAACGGAAAAGATCCATCGAACACAGAAGTATTTTCAATAGTTTCTGGAAAACTTAACACAATTTGGACCAAAGCTTCAATTCCCATCGTTTCTAACGTACGGGTTACTCAACTGCTAACCGCATATTTTAAAAAATATTTATCACTAATAAGATATCCTAAAAGTAAGAGAAACGATAGCTATGACAACAAAGTTAAGTACTTTTTGGAATCGTCAAATAAGCTTTTTGACATCGCTGCTTGTAAGTGCACTTCGTTTGAAAATTGTTCCTGCACTAAACCCAAGAAAGTTCCCATTTCTGAAAGCGATTTTTACTGGACCAAAGAAATGATAGGAAAATGGCAATAAGCGGCGTAGACGCAAAAGAAACTGCAAGGCTTTTAAAGAAACATCAAAGACAAGAAAATTTGAAGCGGACAGAGCAAGCATGTTTTCCGAGTACTTCACAAACCGATACTGTACCGGTACGCGTGTTGCCGCCTCGTTCACAGTCGCTTTCAATAGAACCTTCTACTAAAAGTGACTTAAAGGAGTCTCCATCTAATTCATTTAGTCGGAACACTCTGACGCTGCCAACAGTAGCTAAGGTATGTGATCGATACGGACTATCAACGCGTTCGGCAGCTGCAGTCGCTTCAGCAGTCTTAGTTGACGTAGGAATGGTATCTTCCGAAGATCTAAACCTTGTGATTGATAAAAATAAGATTCACAGAGCTGTTTCAAAGTTAAAAACAGCTAAATGTTTGTGAAAGTAAACCACTAGTGTCTTTTTGTGCAGTGGCTGGCAATTTGCTCGAATTACCTGATGACATTGTGAAGGAACTAAGTACGGATCAAAAGTATCTGTATGAAATGTGTCATGCTGTGACGACTGGTTCTTGTTCCCCTGAGTTAGCGAGCCGCCAACCTGGAAAAATGGCGCATTCAAGATGGCTAACTACTGCCAATCGCATACTCAGACTTTATGTAAGTACTGTTTCGCCATCAAATAATTTAAAGCTGCTTGTCAATTATATGGTCTAAGTTTATGCTCCAGTTTGGTTCCTCATTAAGAAAAACTCATCATTCAAAGATGGAGCCAATCATATTTTTCAAATGGTTACATACTCCCGATTTTTGCCTGATAAGCAAAGATCTATTGTGAATTCAGTGATCGAGAGAAACGCTTTTTTTGCACACCCTGAAAACTTACTTGTTACCATGCTATTCGACGACAGAGAGCATATTCGAGAGCTTGCAGCTCGCAAAATATTAAAGGCAAGAGAAGCAGAAATAAGCAATACTCGCAGGGTATTTAAAGTACCAAAACTTAACTTCGATGCGCGATATTACATCGATTTGATATTTTGGCAAGAGTGTGAGATATCCGCTCCACCGATTTTGCGACAGATGTCCGACGACGAACTGAGAATTAAGGCTAAAGAACAAAGCTTCGATGTTATTGATTTCCCCTGTCATACACAATCAGTGGAAAGATGTGTAAAGCTAGTGACGGAGCTTCTCTAAGTGTCACGGACGCTACAGCTCGGGATGGTTTAATCAGAAACAGATTAAAATCTCGCGCGGAAATGCCTAATTTTGGCCACAAGAACCAATTTCGTATTTGAAATAAGCACTAATTATAAGTATTTAAACTTTACTGAACATTACCTTATGTCTTTGTAGTACCTATAAATTTGATTAAAACCTTTAAAACATTATTTTTGTATCATTTATAGTTTATGTTCGAAACCTCTAAAAATGGCAAATTTGAAAAACTTCTAGGATCGGTAGAGGCCTAAAGATGACAAATATTTAATTAAAGTTTGTTATATTTGTAATCTATTCACAAAAACGCAACTTCTGATACCTCTTGCGTAGCCGTCGCTTTAAAAAAATAATCCCATACATTGACGGGACACCCTAGTGTGCATGCAAATTTAATGTTTAATTTGGTCTAGGTGTTTTTATGTATAATAAGTATGTATTAACAAAAAAAAGTATATATGTATTTATATCAGTTGTCTAGTACCCATAGTACAAGCTCTGCTTAGTTTGGGACTAGATGGCGTTGTGTGAATGTGGTATGAGTAGAATATAACATTTTAATTCATTATATTACAAAGAAATATAATATTTCCGTACCCAAACTAGGTTAACAACTTGTATTTGGCTTCTTCGGCGCCACTTACACGGAAGTTATAACTTAAATTATCTTTATCACATCTAAATGTTGCAAATGTAAAAATAAACTTCTTCGTTTGTGCAGTTCTTATCAAAAGTTCAGAATAGAGTAGACCATTTTTAAGCTCATGCTTCTACCTTAAACCCTATTCCTCAAAGTGAGGACCAAAAAGATTTTTCTATTAAGACCTAAACAATATGTCAAACTAGGTTAGCTAACACCTCAATAGACTAAAGGTATTGCTATTGGTGACTCTAAATAACGGTGAATTTAAAACAGTCCAGTTCATTAAACATAATATTTTACATATTACATACACTCACGTCATTATCTCCTAAGGGTTAAAGAATCGTAAAGAAAACGTACCAGAAAACCATAAAACAGACACCTTCGAGGGGGTGCAGAGTGCCACCGATGCATCGTCCACTCCACAGTGGGCGAGGCGCTCCGGAGTTGATATAGTGGGCGTTTACCCATAGTAATCCATACAAAGAATTCTAACCGCTACAGGCGAGGTGGGGCGGTAGTGGTCGGGTGTCGGGTGCCTCTAATGAGCTTAATGACCTTTAAAGTCCTCAATTTGGTGACCATAATTTTAGTCCCAATCACGTAAAAGCGGGTAAGTCTGTTGCCATTAACCTGGCGCATAGAATTCTAACATATAGCCAATGAATTTTGGAGTGCTCCAAGACAGTAGTGTTCTGTTCTAGTAGTAGTTAGGAGAGTATTGGTTCGGGCACCAGCTACTTCCTTTCTAGGGTATACCTGGTTCCCCGGCTATTAGTACCCGAGACGGCGTGCGGTTTTAGTCGGTTCGAGTCCGACATGCCACCGACAGGTGGTATCCGAGGGGATTTCCTCACGGAAAAAAAAAGGAGAGTATTGGTTCTCTCTTGTTTCATTTGCGTGGCTTCTTCAACACACAAATTTTTGAATACTTGAACATAACGGATACAAGGCCATGATAGGCAGCCATCAAAATTGTTATCACTTCTACTCCATTGGTATAAATCCGGTATCCTAGTCGTAGTACTCGTTTTATAACCCGACGCAGTACCTATCTGGTAGTATCACGCACAGAAGAGGCCAAGATTTCATAGCAGTTGAATCAGGTTTTATTGCGGCTATTATGGAGCTACGCTAGTGTTCATTAAACTATAAAAATATTGAAGACGAGACAAGAGAAATAACCAATAGAAAGTAGAACAAGATCATTCAAATAAAATTAGTTACTATATCTAAATAGTTGGAAAGAAATCGACTTACCATTACGTTCCGTTGTAAACACAGCGCCAAAAAACTTGAAGATTCATGTGTCGTTTCAGTTTCATGTGATTCAAAACCTGAAAAGATAAATATTTTCTTTGATGTAACCGATGTAATTTATCCTAAGTTATAAAAGATAATGAAACTTTTTTCCCAACGTAAATATTAAATATTAATTGAGAGCAATTTAAGATCCATTAATAAACAAACCTAAATCAGAAAACTACTCAGTGATTAGCCCAAGGTCATGAATATGTTCTGTTCAAGGCTCTATTATTCGATAATCAATATATAACTGTTGAAGGCCTATCGTACCTAATATAACACAAAATGAAGAACTGCTTACATTCGTAGCAAACACACAGTTCAAGGAATATAAGGTACATCAAAGAAACGTAAGAAATACATATAAATCTTATATTACACACACTTACTTACACAGCTCATCTCATAAAATTGAATTGAGGAAAAGGGTTGCTATTCTAATACATAAGGATGGGTGGCTCTTGATAACATCCTTTTATAGTTATGTTAATATATTTTTAGGGTCGTAAATGTGTTTTCAATTGGTCTCTTAATGAGACCTACAGTTAGAAATCAATAACTACGATTTTGCGCACCATTTTTAATGCGTTTTTCCATAAAGTATTAAAAGAATATAAAGATACCTCACTTATATTAAAAATGTCAATGTATGTCTCGCTCCAATCCGCTCAGAGTATGTTATGAGCGATAAGGAACTTCATTCCAAAAGTACATTCATCGTGTTTTAAAAAAAAGGGTAGTCAGAGGGGAACGTCCACACTTTTTCGACTATAATTTTAGTCCCAGGTATGTAGTAGGGGCCAAACTTATTGCCGTCAACTAGACACATTTCTAAATAACATACTTATATGAAGAAAAATATTTATTGTTGTTATATTTTATAATTGTTTTATTTATACTTACATACTTCCTCTTAATCCATTACCGGTATTGGTTCTATTTATCTGCAAATATACTTGTAAAAAAACATTAAACAATTCAACTGTTTTACAATTAAACAAAGTAAGTATTACATAAAAAAAGTTAAGTTAAGATGGACCATTTCCACTTGTTACTTAATTCCACTTGTTTACTTAATATATAATATAAACTAATTTCATAGGTTTTGTAACTTAACCTACATTGATAGACTTAAGTAAGTTCTATAAAGAAAGTAAAACAATAAAAAATGATACTCAAAGAATTATCAGCCAATAATTCTAAGAGCACTTTTTAAATAATAAATTGAATAGAAACATAAAGCTAACAACTAAACATCTATTAAATGAATGTAATAATACAAAAAAAAACACCAAGTCCTAAATTAACAAAAGCACAAATCAATCAACAAAGAGTAAGGAAATAAGCCTTAACGATGGCCTATTATCCATCATAATACATTATTATTAATGTGTATCTAGTGCCAAGCCTCCTATACCCGACAGAGGCCGACAATACACCGATAAAGATAACAATTCAAATCAAATATGTTAATATCACACGAAAACAGACACACAAATACAAGAGATAAAAATCATACTAAACTCTTGGATCAATGATGTCACTTTTCTCTTTAAGATCTATTACACAATTTTTATTTTAAAAATCAACCTATTTTTATGTCTAATTGGCATCAAATGGCTGAGTCTAGACGGAATATTATTGCTCGTCAGTATTGTGGGCTATATTAGATTGAATTGATGACGTGTCCAAATTTATGAGGCAATAAAACACTGGCGCTAGACATTACCCAATTTCAATGCTTAGTATTATGCTTCAGTCACCCCACGTAAAACATCGAAGTTCAGTCGTGTTGCTAGATTGAAAGCCGACTTCTACCTAGTTTGCAAAAAGGCTCGGGGGATGATGTTACCGGGGTGGCGGCGAGCGCGTTGCGAAGCGCGCTCGCTTCCAGGGAGCACAGGGAACATGGGGTACCCACACGGTTCGTCTACTCGTCTGTAGATGACCCGAGGTATGTCGGGGTACCAGGGACTTCCTTTCTCGGGTATACCTGGTTCCCCGGCTATTAATACCCGAGACGGCGTGCGGTTTTAGTCGGTTCGAGTCCGACATACCACCGACAGGTGGTATCCGAGGGGATTTCCGCACGGAAAAAAAAAGGGGGATGATGTTAATAGAGTGAAAAGTTCGTAGGTCTGTTTAAATTAAACATAAAAATTTGTGGAACTATTCATCAGGCTTTCATAATTCGTATGTAGGTTAGGTAACACCATGTTACGGACTGCACGGATGGCGTAGTGGTTTAAGCGGTCACCTCGCCGCTTGCTACTCGCTAAGTGTTCTGGGATCGATCCCCACATGGGACAACACTTTGAGTGATCCACAAATTGTTGTTCTGAATCTGGGTGTTCTTTGTGTCCGTTTCATGTATGTTTGTGACACAGGATATATTCCTAATGCGGGAGTTATCTTTTAAAAAAGCAAAAAAAAAAATGCTGCATTGACATTTTATTTGAAAATTCAAGTTCTCGGACATATTTGTATTATAAAATGGAAATATCAATTATAATATCTGAAGCACGGCTATCAGTACGGTGTCATTCATTTGCTTTAATGAATTGTATGTCTAAAGGGTCAGGTAGAAACGTACGAAACGTCTACATTATGAAGACTGCAATTTTAGTCCCAGTTATGTAATAGTAGTGAGATTTTCGTGTGTGTGTGAGTCCGTGTGGTGACGGATTAAGAATACAAATTGTCACTACCCCAATTTATCCCGTGGGTGTCGTAAGAGCCGACTAAGGGAGCAAACTAAGCAGGACACGAGCACTGCAAAGAGAAGGAAAACTTGAAACAAACCCTATACCAACCCGTCTGGCCAGCGTGGTATAGTAGGCCAAAACCTCCTTTCTTAGGAGCGGCCTATGTCCAGCAGTGGACTAGTATAGGCTGTTGATGATGAGTGAGATTTTACCGAGTTATACCTGACTCGGACCGTTTTTTTATAGTTCTGGGGCAAATGAGCAGTCTCAAAAAATACATCTGAAAAGTCACAGGTGCTTTCTAATGTAACGAATTCAATGGTTACCTCAAATTCGATTTTTATCTCTTCTATGTCGTGTTCTTAATATTGTGTAAATTTAATACCGTTATTAAATTTGTCTACTGTTGGTAGTGATGTCAGTCGTTTGTCTGTCTGTGTACCTCTATGTGCTATTGCAATGATTTCTCGCATTGCGTGTTCGTTGTCTGTGTCGTGGTGTTGCGGCGGCGGCCGAGGGTCGGCGGCTCGCGCAAGTATCTGGCGCACCACGTCGCGCGGCGGCGCCCCAAGTGGCGTTGGACGCGCTGAGAGCCCCAGCTGATGAACATCACTTTACTTTACAGTACACTACTTTATACTATTTATATTTCTTTTCTACACTTTAATAAACTACTAAAGAAGACGATTCTACTAAAGAGTGAGATAGTATCACAATCATTCTTGGACTAAAGTGACACTTCTCATGTTCATGCTTCACCCCATTCATATGAACCAAAGTTCATGATAGTAGGGATATAAAGGATTTGCTTGATCTCATTATATTGAATTTTTCATTGAAATCTAAAGTCTTACTCTGTTTCCTTACAATTTTAATTTACATATTATAACATTCACAAGTAGGATTATCGTCCAGCAGAATATGATGGGTTATGACAGAAATGAGGCAAAACGCCTTTGCAATGTCATTTATTGCATTGACCCCTTTTAGAATTGGAGAAAGAAAGAAGGTGACGAGGATGACATTGATGATTTCCGTCTAATCAAAGGCTGCTAATCTGTTGGGTAAAATAAGGTAAATATGGTTATTCGTACCTTGGCTAATATTTGTGACTTGATGCGCTCCAGGCGCTGAGGGTCGGTCGGATGCTGTGTGTGCGGGGGATGAGGGGGATGCGTGCGGTGCGCGTGCGCGGCGGCGGCAGCGGTCGCTCGGCACGGCGCCAGCGCGAGCGCCGCACACACGACAAGCCAGGCGCGCATGGGCGCCTAGCCGTGGCGCTTCACCCGGCGCCATCGAAGCCGCGCCAACGCGACATCTCCGCGCCTGCCGCACATAAAAACAAGTGTTTTAAACTTTTACGAATTATTTATTTATTAAACAAGCTAAAGATCTTTGCTATTAAATCTCGCCAAAACGGCTGAACAGATCTGTATGAAATTTAGCACAGAGATAGATTAAAGTCTGCAATAAACATAAGCTATTTTTTAGAAAGGAAAAATTGATTGACAAAATCGTCACAAACGTGGATGACGTCTTGGGTAAAAGGGACTTCATTTATGTTCAAACAAATATATATAACATAAATTACAAAATTTATGCTTCTAGGGGAGCAGTGGATGCTGAAATATACGTATATATTATTTAGATGTGTAAAACGTGTGTTCTGCAAAGAGAAGGAAAACTAGAAACAAACCATATACCAACCCGTCTGACCAGTGAGGTATAATAGGCCATAACCTCCTTTCTAAGGAGAGCCCTATGTCCAGTAGTGGACTAGTAAAGACTGTGGATGGATGGATGGTTTGAAACGTTTGTTCAAGACCAACGAAAAAGTGTGTGGTTTATACATATTTTAGCAATGTAAAGCATGATTTAACATTGAAAAAAGATAAAAATTATATTCAACTTTCAAAAATTTTTTTTTTCGTAATAGATTTTTCAACTTTCTTTGTTTAATAGGTACATAATTCTAACAATCAAACAATTAATAAGGGTAACGAACACTTTTTTTTTTGTAATTCCAAAAACAATATCTAAACTTTTATCCCTATCACTTGGATATAAGATGAGCTTGTTGGTCTAATGGTTAGTGGCCCTGTACCAGGGACTTCCTTTCTAGGGTATACCTGGTTCCCCGGCTATTAGTACCCGAGACGGCGTGCGGTTTTAGTCGGTTCGAGTCCGACATGCCACCGACAGCTGGGGAGTGGGGAGGGGATTTCCGCAGTAAAAAAAAAAAAAAAAGTGGCCCTGAGGCCGATCCGGGTTCGATTTCCACACAGGACAAATATTGTGTGATGAGCACAATCATTTCTATATCTGGGTGTAATTTATCTATAATACAAATGTATTTCAAAATATAATATATATGTATGTTTATCAGTAGGCTGGTTACCATAGTACAGGCTCTGCTTAGTTTGTGTGAGATGTGTGTAGATATTTATTTATTGGAAGACCAACAGTGGTAACAGCAGTAGGTGTATGACACCAAAATACGCTAAATCTAGTCAAATACAGGTCCTCACTATTAATTATAAATTGCAACAACAAGAACAGCAAGTGTATGAAAACATTTTAAATCCTTAATCAATGAAATCAAAATCATAATCAAAACCAAAATCAAAATTAAATGTTTTATTATTATTTGGAGTGAAACTGTACGCTTATCAACAAATTTTTTGTCTCACACAGTCAACCTGTGGAATAAATTCCCATACCCATGCGGTATTTCCGGACCGATACGATCTTCTAACCTTTAAATAAAGAGCGTTCTCCCACCTCAAAGGCCGGCGATGCACTTCTGACTTCTGAGTTGCAGATGTCCATGGTTGGCAGTAGTCACTTGACACACGATTGGATGGGTGGGTGACGAGTCCGCTCGTTTACCCGCTTATATTAAAAAAAAAAACAAAAATCGTCAAAAAGACGAGTGTGCTTTAGACCACACGACCGAAGTAAAACTTCTTGGCTATGAGAGACAGAGAGAAAGAAAATGCTTGCTCGTACCTCTCTGTCTTATCCCTATAGTAAAATCGGAAACGTAATTCTCTCTCTTTCTATCTTTACTAACTAACGTCTCCCTCTCGACTTCCGTTCGCCTCGCCCGATCACACCCTTCGTGACGCTCTCGTCACGCATTCATCAGCGTACAATTTTAATAAAAATAGTACCTATACAAAATCTATGATATGCCTGTGCCGATCTACCACTGCCCGTTTCCAAGGAGTTGAGCCTTATGCGAAGAAATGGTAAACAAACTCATGGCCACTCTTTTGCAATTTACAGATAATGACATCATTAAATATACGATAACATTGTTTTAACGACTTCACGGATGGCGTAGTGGTTGAAGCGGTCGCGACGCCGCTCACTACTACGCTGAGTGCTGTGGGTCCCATCCCCACATGGGACGACACTTTGTGCGATCCACAAATTGTGGTTCTGAGTCTGGATGTTCTTTGCGTCCGCTTCATGTATGTTTGTAAAGTCCGCCAGGATTTATTCCTAGTGCGGGAGTTGTCTTTTTATTAAAAAAAAAGAAGATGTATACCAGTCTGTCAATGACAATGAAGAGAAAACAAGATTAAGAAAAAAGATACAGGTAAAGATAGAAATTTTATTGTTACCATCACTCTTGCAGTTAGACACGTGGAGAAACTTAGCCGTTATCATGTCCGACATCTTTATTCCCGTTTTTCCCCTTATCTGTACGAGTGAGTATAGGAGGGAGGGAAGTGTTTAACAGTTTAACGGTGTAGCACTATAATTTGAAACTGTTCTTCTTTACATTATAAATATATAAGTAACCTAACCTAGCAGTCTATCCTAGTCTTCTGTATATTCCTTGTGTAAAGACTATATATACACAAAATTCATGTTTTAGACTAATAAAGTTTCATCTCAAACTTAAAAACATTCTCTCGTAGCTAAGAATATGTTTGATTCACTACAAGTGCTGTATTTTGCCCTTTTTTACTGACTGCATATTTTTTTTTTTTTTTATTGGATAGGAATAACAAACAGCTACAACATACATTTTACAAAATAATCCTAACAAATATTGCACATAATGTCACAAAATTTGATGCTACACATGTATTTCTAATCGCGGATATTTGTAAATGGCCATCAGATATTCATGTATTATGTTTTTAAAATGCTAGCTATGAATATCGATATAATATAGATATAAAAATAATGTATGCATTGGTGATACTTTTTTAAATTTAATTAATTTTCATCAACTTAACTCACCATCAGCCGGGTTGACGTCATACTAACGAGCTACATTTCAAAACATAGCCATTAAAACAGTAGAAATAATCGCAATGCAATAAACTGCATTCTAGCCAGTCTTATCTTAGATGAACCGTCCGTTATCTGGGTCGATCCAATCTACTATTCGTTTAAGTAATTGAAAACTTTTAAATCTTTATTGACTGTAAGCATGTTTAATATCTCTTTTAATGTCATCTGCTATCGGATACGACTCGTGGCTCGTAAACTGTTTGCCATGATTTAGTTGGTTCGGTAGATTTTTCTTCAATTCTGTTTCTATTCAAAAACAACATTAATCAACATTTTAGTTCTGAATAAGAGGTTCAAATTAAAAAATAGCAAGTTAGTAAGTTATACTTTGGCTGATAAGGTTCAACTCGACCGAAATGGTACAACGGCCTCACAGAGAGTCAGTGTTGTGTCACCAGTGAGGCCATATCACTCCAGTCGAGTTCCCATTTGTACCGGAGCATGGCTCTCCCACGACCAAAAGCTTTTACACACTTAATATCTATCAATCTCAAACATCCAAAGGAAGGTAACCGCTTACCACTAGGTAGACCTTTAATCCCAACACAATATAAGGGTGCAACGAACTTGGTGATAATGTTTCAAGGTCTTCATAACAAACAACACCTTGTAATGGTTTCAATTAACTTATGAAGTGAAACTAGGTAAGCAGAGCAATAGGCCATCAGTTACTTCCAGTTGATTCATCGCCAGCGTTATATCAAGGGCAGGGGGTACAGATAGGGTGACACCCTTTGGTGTGTGGTGGAAGTTAAAGGTGAAGAGCGATACTTTTGAGTCGATTTGACTTGGCTTGTAATGGCTTTTAAGCGAAATAAAAATGGACGAGTTTTTTTCAAGTCTCGTTTGATATTCGCGTCACAAATACTGTGATAATTATTTTTCACCTTTTTACTACTATTTTACCTTATTAGCATTTAAAAGCGAAATTTAAAAAATACATAAAACATACCACAGTTTTGCAACCGGTAAGAATTGCCATAAATTGTGCTTTCAGTGTAGAATTTTATGACGAATAAACGGCACAACATCTAGGGGCCACCCCTATCAATATACCCGTGAAAATTAAAAGTATCATTGAAATATATGTATATTATATGTCACTTTGATTTAATTAAACTTATAAATTTTGTGTTAGTTAACTGTTTTACTTAGGATAAGATGTTTCCAAGTTGGGTAGTCACATCTCAAGTGAAAATGGAAATGGATTCTTTAGAACACGTTAAAAACTAAAAACCACGCTTTACTCAGTGTAACTAGTCTCATTTACAAACAGAAAATAAAATCGTAAAATAATTATATTTAGTGTTTGTGATAAAAAATTAAATGCATAATTTTATTCATTTATATAAAAGTATCTCATTATACTGTACTTGTTAAAGTTATGTATGTATACTATTATGTAGTATGTATAGTATTATTATCATTCTTTGAATGTTTTAGTTTTATCAGAATAAGTTAGTCTCTTTTTACAAGCTTTTTATTAACTTACAATGTATGTAACTATGTTTGTTCGGGTGAAATGTTGCAACTCAATTTAGAAACAGATATCTTCAATCGATTGAGCTGAAATTTTGTATGTATGACGTCAATCTAAATCCAACATGGCGGAACATCCAAGATGGCGGACTAGTCATTTTCATTGCACTCCTACAATATAGGCATCAAATGCAAGAGCTTGCTGAGAATAACAAAAACAAAAGCTTGTTTTTAAAAACGGTTTTTTCTTTTAAAATATTTAATTTTGACTTATTTATGTATATTGTGTACTTACCTAACTACATTTTGTTTATATGTGTAGATATTAACCAAAGCGTTTGAACAACTGCTATTTTTGTTTTGAAATAGGAGGCATAAATCTATACTGGTATTATAAAGCGGAAGAGTTTGTGTATTTGTTTATTTATTTGAAGCCCTAATGTCAGGAACTACTGGTTCGAATTGAAAAATC